GCCACAATTTCACTGCGCAGTCAAGCTCAGGTGTAGGAAATGACAGGACATGCTGTGGGAAGAATGAGCTGTCAACGAGCTTTGCAGCGATCAAATGGTCACTCTGTGAGAACCTCTGTTCCACCTGTGAGATGACTGTGTCACATGCCTCCTTCATTACCGGCGCTGTGCTGCTGACTCGTCGGCCTGGCTCGTCTGTTCCATCATGAGTGGTGGCGGCCAATGCATCAGTTTGCTGCCTCATTTTCTGGACATTTTCCTTGAAGCGGCAGAGCGCGCTGTTGATCCCAGGTGCATCGATGGTTCGTTTTTGCAGAGTGTTGTATAAAACATCCACTTCTGGCATAAGCAACGAAAAAAACTCCAGGAGCTGCATAAATGCTCGGTCCCGCAGTTTCTTTGACAGGCCGTATGCCTCACTTATGGTGACCGCATCCCATCCTGGTTGTGTGCGTATATGGTCCATACACTGAAGAAGTGCTTCTCGGGTCTCCCAAACCGCGTTCACAGTTCTGCTTTTAAAGTTCCATCTCACAGCCGGTGGCCGTGGTATGCGTCTCTGTGTTGCCTCTGCAAGAGCTGCAACACGTTTTGGAGCACCGGAGAAAAAAGTGGAAAAAGCAGTTAGATCTGCAAAAAACACCTTCAGGATGCTCATCCTTGCTGAACACAGTTGCTGCAGGGTCAGGTTCAGTTGGTGGGCGTAGCAGTGAACAAACTGAGCGTTTGGGTACGTCTCCTTCATGACCGTCTGTACCCCGCGCACAGTTACCGCTCATGACGGCCGCCCCGTCATAGGTCTGAGCGATTAGCTTTTCTTTCAGCTTCAGGGGTTCAAGAACAGCCTTGATGCTGTTAGAGAGACCTACACCAGTTTTGTCCTTTACTTCCACAAACTCCAAAAAACGCTCTGTAACTGTGAGGTCAGGCATAATGTATCGCAGCACAATCACCATTTGCGATTTACATGAGACATCGGTTGTCTCATCGGCCTGAACGGCAACAAATGATGTGTTGTCCACTTGCTTGGATATTTCCTCCCTGTACACATCATACATGCAGTCCAAGAGTTCATTCTGTATGGTGCTTGATGTCCCTTTGAAAACGGGCTGAGCTTCGTAGTGCCGTCGAAGCCTGGAATCGCCCTCACACATTGTCTCGAAAATTGACCTGAATATCCCTGGATTCAGAGAGTCCGCCGACTCGTCGTGGCCCCGCAGTGCTGTCTCACATTTCCCACACAGTTTAATACAGGTGATGATCCGACCCAACACGTACCTGTTTTCTTCCACCTTTCTATTATGATCATCAATGCCGCGTCTGTAGGCGCTGTCAATCTGAGCTGCAACATTCACCCTTCCCAGTAATCCCAATTTTACGGCATTTTCCAAGTGACTGTTGCTGCTCTCATGCTTCATTGTCCTCTCCGAAAGATGCTTTAAGTCCTTGTAACCTGTCCTCGACCAAGTACCTTGATCTTCACCAAAAAGCAGGCAAGGAAAGCAAAAGAGGGAATTCTTCTGGATGCTCGCCGTTAGCCATTTCTTTTTAGCAAACCACTCAGCATTAAACCCGCGGTTCACTTTGCCCGCAGTCTGGACCATTTGGAAATCCGGTGGATGGTGGGCACCGAGGCGCTTTACCTCCAGTTTCTCTCCGAGACTAAGTGTCTCAAATGTGTGCTCCAGTAAATGGTCAACTTCATTCATTTTCTTTCCGTTTTTTACTTATTTTTAATCGCTGGTGATGTTAGCTATATGCTGCTCTCTCGTCTTCTCTTCACACTACACGTGACGTTTCGCAGCACTGCACACGTGACATATTTACAGCCAATCAGTTCTGAATAATGTGAGCTGACATATGGTGGGGATGGCAGCTCCGTGCCCCTTTGGCCTTTTTTTTTTTTGCCACACACATTCCATTGAAAAATACTCTGAGCATGCGCAGTGTAGTTTTTACAGTCACCGTTCACTTAAACAGTGAGAGGGAGGGGCAGAATCAGGTTTTGTCCCACATGGCTCAAAACGGCACTGTAGACACTAATTAGAAGAACACAGACTAAAACAGCAATGTACAGACGAATCAGATGATTAAACATGACCTTAAAATATATTTTATATATTTTTTTATTTCTTTTTTTGCATCTTTTTGAATTTTTTGTTTTCATTATGTGTAATACTTTCTGCTGACACTAGGTGGGGCTGTGCGTGTGTGAAGACAAAACATATAGAACTTTGGCACCTGAGCTTTAATCATCTCAAAAATACACAAATATACAAATTACTACATTGAATAGTAATTTGATACATTTGATAACACAATCATTCTGTTTCACTAACACAATGACCAGTGGAGTATGTGTGCATCATGTAAAGTGTTATAGTAAACATTTCTAACAGAAGGCCTTTCTATGAGCTGACCACAGCTCTGATTTATTAGAGTCTTACCTCATGTATATTTAAAACTATATATATTATTATGATTGTTTTTATTAATTAATTTTATTTATTGGTTTATATAGTATTTTTTCTCTCAGTTTTTATTAGTTTTTGTTATTATTTTGAATTTAATTATTCATTTTAATTTAATTAACTATAATTGTCATTTATTTTTAATTATGTATTTTTTCTGTATCTTGTTAATTTTATTGAAAGCCAATACAACATTGAGATACAAAGAAAAATACATATGTTTATGCACACATGGAAACACAAACACTTGTATATGTTTTCATTCATTTAAAGGGGACCTATCATGCAAAATGCACTTTTGTACGTCTTTTATACATGAATATGTGTCCCCGGTGTTCCAGGGAACTCACCAAGTGTCAGAAAACACAACCCTCTCTATTTTCCTCCATACCCATATCTAAAAAAAAAGGGGCTGCAACGGATCTGATAAAAACTGATCCTGATTTGAACACTGTCCTGACGTCAGGACGGTGGCGCTACGGCTATTGGGCCAACTCTCCACCTATCAGGGGAATGTGGGGTTGGGCCACGGCCGGCCATTGCCGCTCGAAAGCGCTGGAGACGCTGTAGTACATATGCCAGGCCTGTAAGTGGCGCTGTAGTCTGCCACAAAAGCAGCGAAGAAGACTTCCCGCGCATGGTTACCATGGTTACCCTTCTGTTTATTCTCCGCTGTGGCTTTTTTTCTCCCTCCCCGAGGCAAGCGTTTGCTCACGCTGCTGTAATTCAATGCAATCCCTCCCCGTCGAGGCAAGCACTGTAATTATCTCCGGTTAGTCCACCAGCAGATGACAAACACCCACCTCTCCGCCTCTTCCAAGGAACGAGGGGACCGTGCGGCAGAGTTTCAGTTAGGTTTTCTTTCGCCGGTCAAGATGTCCGTTAAAGTTTAAATCTTCCGGACAAAATTAGAAAAGTGCCGGTCAAAGGTCTTCTTTGTTATTTATTGAGCTTTAAAACAAATGAATAACGACTCTATATAATAATAGGCTATAATAAAACACGGAGGACGGAGATCTATTTTTCTCCCCCTCTTCTGACTTGATCAGAGCACGGCTCCCCTCTCCTGCAGGGGGGCGTGGTCAGCTGCAGCTCACAGAATCAGCCCCCTGCAAAAACAGGGCTGGAGAACAGCAAATAGAGCGAAATGAGGCATGGCTAAAATGCATGATCTGTTTGGTATTTTGAAAACAGAAACGTATAAATATACCTTATATAGGTATGGCCCTACAATATATCATTTAAATATAGCATGATAGGTCCACTTTAAGTTTGAGATCGTATTCAATCGAATTACCTGTGTCAATATATAAAATTCATGGAAATTAAGGTTAATAAAATGACTTATTTACACACATATATAAGTGTACATTCATGTCTTTATTGTGGTCAAAAGCATGTTAACAGAGTAACAGTTTTACAGTGACCTGGTTCAATCAGACATAATGTAACATCTCAGTTGCTAAGGACAAGTTATTTGAGATGCACAAACTGAGGGATGAGTATGAGGACAATTCCAATCGTCCCATTTCTGATAATAGTTGTTGGTGACACAGTGTTGAACTCCTCCAGCGTTGTTTGGCTCTCCTGTAAACCAATAGAAAAACTTGGCTGCACACCCATCAGACCACATCCAGCTTCCTTCTTGGTGGACGTCACTGAGTACGATCCAGGTGTATTCCTCAGCAGGGTCAAAGTTCTTGATCAGTGATGTGACAAACTTTTGTTCCCCCTGACTGTGGATAGACACCAGGTTGGCTCCCTCTGACACACATTGGAGCTCTGCTGCAGCCCAGGTCAAAAGTGAAGAAGAACACTTTTGTTAAAATAATTGATCCTGTATTGTACATTACTCTCCACAGGGCCTCAGTGAGACAATATTTAAAGTGTGTTAATCTGTCTGTCTCTCAATCACAACAGTGGTATTTCATTTTCATTAGTGACTGTGTCATAAATCTTGATGTGTTCATTACAAATATTCCACATGCTAGATAGGGTTTGGGAATTATGGCAGGTTTAAAACATTTTTTGGGGCAAATATCAAGCACTCTAGACTTAACGAGCTGCTCAATACACACTAATGTTAAAATCTGAAAAACAATAGCTGAAGGTCTTGTGATCATTTTAAAGTTGGAATGAAGTCTCTAGCTGAAAGTACGTGGAAGGAGAAGCCTTTGGCGCAAGGTGTAGTTAAAAGAGGATTTGAAGGTTCCTCCCATTGACTTCCATGTTAAAAAAAGAGTTTAAAAAGCTGAATATTTCAAAAAGTATGAAATATTTTGAAAAAGTTGAAGATTTCCCATCGATTGCTGAAAAGGCTGAATAGTTTAATATTTGAATGGTTTCTGTAGCTGAAAGTATGCTGAAGTCATGGAGAGCCAAAGTATCGGTTGAAATAAGAATAAGGGGATTAAAGATTCGAAGAACTATAGTGGAATGCTGTAAACAGCATTCACACTAATAAGGGGAAGAATAAAGATAGCATTCGCACTAATACAATTACTTCTTTACACACATATAAGTGTACATTCATCTCTTTATTGTGGTCCAAAGCATGTTAACAGAGTAACAGTTTTACAGTGACCTGGTTCAATCAGACAAATGTAACATCTCAGTTGCTAAGGACAAGTTATGTGAGATGCACAAACTGAGGGATAAGTATCTGAACAAGATCTATCGTTCCATTTATGATTAAAGTTGGTGTGGACACAGTCTTCATTTCCTTTATTGTCTGGCTGTCTTGAATTCCAAAAGACAAAGTTGACTGCTGACCCATCAGACCACATCCATCTTCCTTCTTTGGGGATGTCATTGAGTCCGATCCAGGTCCATCCCTCAGCAGGGTGAAAGTTCTTGATCAGAGATTTGACAAACTCATGTTCGGCCTGACTGTGGATAGACACCAGGTTGGCTCCCTCTGACACACAGTGGAGCTCTGCATCAGCCCAGTCCATGTCTGCGGCGATGTACTTGTAGCAGCGGCCGTTGAAGGAGTACCAGAACGGGCGACAGCTGCCACGCTGAAGCTTCACTAGAGGGTCATCTGAAGGAGACACAGCACCCAGAGCCAGACCCAGCAGGAAGAGGAACAACAGCATGATGAAGTCTCTCCGTCACAGGAGCAGGGTGAAGGGTTGTTTGTCGGTTGAGTTTATTTGAAGCGTTCGAAGGGATAGAGACTCTGAAGGAGACAGATGACAGGCTGCTTTTTTATATATGCATCGGAGAGGGTGTTTTCACTGTTGGCCTAATATTATTGGTCAACTGAACTTGGCATACTCTGTCTGTTTTTCACAACCAAACAGTATCTGGACATCAACTAAAAAAAGACTAACAGCTCAGCTGGCGATGTCACACGGAATCCATCATTTATTTTCAACCAAACCAAATGAAGGTATTAAATAAAACGTTTGGACTGCCAAAGAGTCACAGAAAAACAAGCTTTTCTGCAGGAATATGTTGATGCTAAGTGATCACTAAAGAAATGTTCAAAAGTGGGTCCGCACTTTCTGAATGTTCTGTTTTTAGAGATTTCTCTAAAAATGCGTTACTTTGCTGTGCTTGTGAGAAATGATGAAGAACATTTTTGTTAAAATAATTGATCCTGTATTGTACATTACTCTCCACAGGGCCTCAGTGAGACTATATTTAAAGTGTGTTAATCTGTCTGTCTCTCAATCACAACAGTGTTATTTCATTTTCATCAGTGAGTGTGTCATACATCTTGATGTGTGTTCATTACAAATATTCCACATGCTAGATACAGTAGGTACTGCTTGTGACTTCAACAGCTGTTACACCTGTGCTGTTCCCATACTTATCTAATACACTGAGACTGACGTGGACAAAAGACATGGAAACAAACACTTTAAAATATCAACAGGAACAAGCAGGTGATAAATGTGTATAACAAAAAGTCTCCATGTTGTTACTGTTCAGTGTTTCGCTAATTATTTGAATATTACTTTTGTACTTGCACAATGAACATGAAAAGGAATAATTAATTTATAACATCATTTTAAAACATTTTATTTAGGACACCACATTACTAGAGTGACTTCTCAACTTAGGCTAAATGAATGTTGATAAAATGACCTTCGCACAATTGTACCAAAATTACGGAGCTCCAACATACACAGAGAGTAAAAATATTTACACCCTTTTCACAAGGCCTTTCTACGACACTTAATATGAACAGATCACCGCTCTGATTTATAAGATCTAGCTGTCCAACAATTATTGACTTTTCTTTTTTACAAAATCGTCTTTAAAACTAAACTATGCATCTTTGATGAGAGTTAAAACATTGAGATTGTAAAATGTGCTCAAAAAAGGAGTTTGCCTATCAACAGTGTGATTTCATTTTTAATAGTGAGTTATTTGATAAAAAGTTAGGGTTAGTATTCAACACGACTCACATGTGTAGTGTACGGTTGTCTGGAACTGTTGTTCCACCTGGGCTGTTCCCACATTTATCTGATACACTGAGACTGAAAAAGACATGGAGACATGTTGTAATAGTTTGAAGCAACACAAACAAGCAAGTGAAATACAGCATCTGTGGAATGAAGAATATCACTGTTTTTACTATTTACTGTTTTGCTAATTCTTTGAATATTACATTTGTACTTGCATGATGAAGATTAAATGAATGTTGTATTATTACATAATGTGAAAACATTTTGTTTGAGCCACAACAATACCAGAGTGACTTCCCAACTTAGGCTAAATGAATGTTGATGAAATTACCTTTGAACATTTGTAACTTTATTTCAGAGCTCTAATGTATTTACACGGAACAAGTAAAAACCTAATTTTAACAGTCAGACCCTTTTTGCTTTCCTGGTCATTACAGCATTTAACACCAGAGGACAGAGACACTGACCTGCTCCTCTACTGCTCTCAATTGAAGACAAAACATATAGAACTTTGGCACCTGAGCTTTAATCATCTCAAAAATACAGAAATATACAAATTATTACATTGAATAGTAATTTGATACATTTGATAACACAATCATTCTGTTTTACTAACACAATGACCAGTGGAGTATGTGTGCATCATGTAAAGTTGTATAGCAAACATTTCTAACAGAAGGCCTTTCTATGAGCTGACCACAGCTCTGATTTATTAGATCTAGCATTCCAACAACCACTGACTTTGCTTAACACAAATGGGACTATGGATCTTTGAAAAGAAGAAATAAAGGGGAAATCCATTCTCCAAATGTATAAAGAAGGCTCAATTCGTGTCCTTGTGATTAAGTCAGACCATTAATGGTTTCAGTCAGACAACTTACGTTTGTAATGTTTATTAGAAGCAGCATTTAGTTTGAGTTTGGCATCTAGGCTTGGGCCTCTTCACTCCACAAATGTACATAGAACATTGAGTGATGATTAAATAACAATCCCATGGAGCCTACAGGAGGATGCTGGGGCAGAAGCTGAGGTGGGGGGTGCAGGCCCGCAGCAGCGAGGTTGTAAGGCAGGGCGCTTTAAGTGTAAATGTATCATTGGTGCAGTTGACTGCCTAAACTAGGCAACAGTCACACACTTTCTGCTTCCCTTTCCATTACAGCATTTAACACCAGAGGACAAAGACACTGACGTTTCCCTCTACTGCCCTCAAGTGGCCAAAACATGAACAAGTGCTTTTACAGATTCAAACCACAAACATGATTTATTCTTATCAATGCATTTTGAAAAGTGAACCTGAATTGTAGTTTTCTCAAACATATATAAATGGAAATCATATTATATCTGATTTTATTTGATTAACATTTGTTCTTGCAAGTTTATGTTACGTGAAGATTACTTGTAATACTACTGCTATCAAATGGCAACAAAACATAACAAAGTACTTTTTAAAGCTTCAAACCACAAACATGCTTTATTCTCAGGAATGCACTTGCAGTTGATGAACTTCTGAACATGGCAAGTGAAACAATATATTATGATTGATAGTAATTGAATAAATGAAGTTGCATAGTGGCAGTAGCGTGGGGGGTGGGGAAGACATTGATACTACATGTGAATGATTATTTATATAATGATTATATAATAAAGGTATAAATGTAATGTGATGTTTGACATTAATGTCTTTATGATCAGATATGTGAAAAGCATCTATACAGTAATACTTGGCCTGGTTATATGATCTTGATGTAGGAAAGATTATTATACTTAACATGTATATTATTGTTGTGGTGAAAGGTGAGCGTGACAGATATGAGTCTTACCTCATGTATATATAAAATTATATATATTATTATGATTGTTTTTATTAATTAATTGTATTCATTGATTTATAGTGTTTGTTATTCCTGTTTCTTTTAGTTTTTTATGAGTTAAATTATTCATTTGAATTTAATTAACTATAATTGTCATTTCTTTTTAATTATGTATTTTTTCTGTATCATGTTAATTTTCTTGAAAACCAATATAAAATTGAGATACAAAGAAAAATGCATATGTTTATGCACACATAGAAACACAAACACTTTTATATGTTTTCATTTAACTAAGTTTGAGATCGTATCGAACCAAATCACCTGTGTCAATATATAACATTCATGGAAATGAAGGTTAATAAAATGACTTCTTTAAACACATATTAGTGTAGATTCATGTCTTTATTGTGGTCCAAAGCATGTTAACAGAGCAACAGTTTTACAGTGACCTGGTTCAATCAGACATATGTAACATCTCAGTTGTTAAACACAAGTTATGCGAGATGCACAAACTGAGGGATAAGTATTAGAACATGGTCCATCGTTCCATTTCTTAGCAGGACTTAAGTTGGTGTTGACACAGTCTTCATTTCCTCCACCATTGTTTGGCTCTCCTGAATTCCAATAGAAAAACTTGGCTGCACACCCATCAGACCACATGAATCTTCCTTCTTTGTGGAAGTCATTGAGTCCGATCCAGGTCCATCGCTCAGCAGGGTCAAAGTTCTTGATCAGAGATTTGACAAACTCATGTTCGGCCTGACTGTGGATAGACACCAGGTTGGCTCCCAGTGAAACGCAGTGGAGCTCTGCATCAGCCCAGGCCAAATGTGTGGAGATGTACTTGTAGCTGCGGCCGTTGAAAAAGGACCAGGACGTGGGACAGCTGTTTTGCTGTGGCTCCACTTCTTGTTCTTCTGAAGGAGACACCGCACAGAGAGCCAGGCCCAACAGGAAGAGAAAAACCAGCATGATGATGTCACCGTCTCTGTCTGTTAAAGTTGAACTGAACCGTTGGATAGTAAGAAGATTCTGTGACAAGTGACGGGCTGTTCCTTTTATATGCATCAGGGAGGGTGTTTTCGCTGTTGGCCCAATATTAGTGGTCAACTGAATTTGGAAAACACTTTCTGTTGTGACTCATTTGTTTGTTTGATGCCCGAAAGCAGATAAGAAACATAACAGGTACTTTTATATTCCAGCATTGTAGTTGTAAACCAGAAACAAAACATTTTCTCAAAAATGCACTTGCCCATTTCTGAACCTCTGAACGTGGCATTTATGTCCCCTTAAAAATACATGAACAATATATTAAAATACATTTAATGAATGAAAAGATGCTCTAAAATGGTGTCTCTTTCCTGTCCTTTTGATTCATTATGATGTACTTTGCTGAACCTCTGGCCCCTGAACGTTTGTCACCTCAAAAATACATAAAACAATATATTACAATAAATAGGTAATATAACACAGTATTTCTGCTCTATGAACACAAAGAACAGAGGAGTGTTTGTGCATGTGTGCGTCATGTACAGGTTTTTAGTATAAAATGACTACCACAAGGCCTCTCTATGACACTGAATATGAACAGACCACGGCTCTGATTTATTAGATCTAGCTGTCACAGAATCACTGACTTCACAAAATGCATCTTTGAAATGAGACCTTGTAACTTTTTTATAAGAGAAGTAAAACACATTGTTGGTCTTATAAATAAAACGCTTAACAACTAATTGTCCAATTCAACAGTCCGGGTATTGTTGCTGCTAAAGCCTCATTGTGGCTATTGTTGAAAAACTTTAGGTCACTAAATATATATAACGGACAGTCAGTTTGCTGACTCATGACTCTTCCACATGTGCCACTGTTACAGAGGTTAGTCTTTAGCTAAATGATTAACAACAGCTTAGCAACTGGCATCATCCCATACCTGCCTGAAGAAAGTTTCTGCAGCAAAAGTTACAAAGTCTCACTTTAAAGGGGAAATCCACTCTCAGAATGTATAAATATTATTCTAATAATCTTGAATAGTTTGAGTAGATGTGTGGATATGAACAACTCCTGGAGAGGATCGATCTCAAGACTCCAACACACACAACAGGTTAAGAGTCGTCAAACGAGTCTTTGCACAGAAAATGACTAAGCTGCTCAAAACACACACATTATATTTAATGAGTCTTTACCTTAATCATCTCTGATCTTTTTGAACCAAAGATGTTTTTGGCACTGGAACAGTTGGAAATCCCAGTCCACCGGTTAATTATGATCTGGAGGAGACACGCCCCTGTGCTCTGAAAGGCTTGGTGTTGAAATGATTATTAACACTAGTGGCAACAAGCTTATCGCTTGACATCATTTATCATAAGGCTTTACAAAGAGAAAAATATAGTAGGCTGTTTGTCCTAATCCAAAACCACCACACAGACCCTGATATCAGTCATCATAATGTCAAAAATCATCTAAGCAAACATCTGGTCTGCTTTACATGATCACAGACCAATCGTTTGGGGGCTTAGTTAAGGAAATGACACTGTGGTGAAAACAAAAAAGACACTGATAATAGTGACCATAATAAACCAGGACCTCTGTGCTGCAGGACTTGATGTGACATTCGGCACTGAAAAAAGTCTATAGGTCCATATTAAATACAATCTAAAATGATATGATTACACAAAAATAAATGGACAATATCAAAGATGCTCTAAAATTGTATCGCTTTCCTGTCCTTTTCATTCATTATGATCTAAGCTTAGGAGTTCAAATAAGGATGAATACATTTGCAGTATAAATGTGTGTGTATGTTTGTCTATGGTTGTGTAATGTCGGGTATTCCAGAAAGACAAAGTCCCATCCGCAATTATTTACTGTGCAAAGTACAATCACAAAACATTGGTAAAGTTCACTTTGCAAACACTTTAAGTTTCACACAACTACACAGAATATGAACATTACCCAAAAAAGAGCACAAGCTCACCTGGAGATGTCACATAAAACCTATGATTTATTCATTTCAGTCAAATGTTGAAATAGTAAAACACTGCTTTAGAAAAGACATATGTGTTCCTGTTCCTCTGGTCCAGGTGTGAGAGGGCAGTGTGGATGGTGAGGGCTATGGCGTCGTCTGTGGACCTGTTTGCTCTGTAGGCAAACTGCAGGGGGTCCAGAGAGTCAGGGAGGGAGGAGGTGATGAATGATTTGACTAACCGCTCAAAGCACTTCATCATGATGGAGGTGAGTGCTACTGGGCGGTAGTCGTTGGGGCAGGTAATTATTGTCTTTTTGGGGACAGGAACGATAGTGGAGTGTTTAAGACATGTGGGGACTACAGACTGCAGCAGGGACCTGTTGAAGATGTCTGTGAACACCTCTGCCAGCTGAACTGCACAGACCCTGAGCACACGGCCAGGGATGCCATCAGGTCCAGGAGCCTTGTGTGGGTTAACCCTTTTAAAGGATTTACACACATCTGCCCAGTTTAAAACAAAAGGGCAGGGCTCTGGCTCCTGGTCCCTCTATACCTCCACAGCCCGGCTGCTCTCAAAGCGTGCAAAAAAACTGTTCAGCTCATCTGGGAGAGATGCGCACGCAGACACTCCCGCAGCACCCCCCGCTGCTCCTTTGTAGTCTGTCATTGTTCTTAGTCCCGCCCACATGTTCCGGGTGTTACAGCCTTTGAAGTCAGATTCCACCTTCTCATTTCTAAATGATTCCCCTCATGCTGCTCCTCATTTCTTTTCAGGATGGTCCCTCTGTGATTGAAATAAAAACTGTTTTTCACATGTCGGGGCAATGTAAACAGGAATATATTTTTAGGATCTGTTGGTTCAGAGAAGATACATTTTCAGTCCATACTAGTTAGTGGTTGCAAGGCAAAAATAAAGCTGTAAGACTCCTACCAGGCAGATTTACTAAATCACATTTGTGCCTCCTTTATTCTTTCCACACCCTGTGTTTTCACAGTTTACACAAGACTTCTGAATAATGTGGACATTTCAGTCAGTAAGAATAAAAAGTCAAAAATCTCCTCATGTGCTTGGCTTATCGCTTGACATCATTTAACATAAGGCTTTACAAAGAGACAAATCTAGTAGGGCTGTTTGTCCTAATCCAAAACCACCACACAGACCCTGATATCAGTCATAATGTCAAAAATCATCTAAGCAAACATCTGGTCTGCTTTACATGATCACAGACCAATCGTTTGGGGGCTTAGTTAAGGAAATGACACTGTGGTGAAAACTAAAAAGACACTGATAATAGTGACCATAATAAACCAGGACCTCTGTGCTGCAGGACTTGATGTGACATTTGGCTCTGAAAAAAGTCTATAGGTCCATATTAAATACAATCTAAAATGATATGATCACACAAAAATACATGAACAATATATTAAAATACATCAAAGATGCTCTAAAATGGTGTCTCTTTCCTGTCCTTTTGATTCATTATGATCTAAGCTTAGGAGTTCAAATAAGGATGAATACATTTGCAGTATAAATGTGTTTGTGTATGTTTGTCTATGGTTGTGTAATGTCGGGTATTCCAGAAAGACAAAGTCCCATCCGCAATTATTTACTGTGCAAAGTACAATCACAAAACATTGGTAAAGTTCACTTTGCAAACACTTTAAGTTTCACAGAACTACACAGAATATGAACATTACCCAAAAAAAGACCACGATGTCACTGGAGATGTCACATAAAACCTATGATTTATTCATTTCAGTCAAATGTTGAAATAGTAAAACACTGCTTTAGAAAAGACGTGTGGCTTCAGCTGTCAGAAGGTTGCTGGGACACAAGGAGAGACATATTGCTTTCTGTCTGACTTTTCTTTTCATGTACAACTGAAAACTACATACCAAACATGGGCATATATTTACACATAAACAATATTACAGTAGCACAAAGCCTTCAATGTGTCCTTTCTTGAATTGTGAACTTTTTTATTTTAACATGCAAACAAGTTTGAAACATTGCTTTAAAAAAGAAAAGAAAATTACTTCACAGAATGGCCATTAAAACACTAAATACACCTTCCTGTTGGTTTCCTGTCCATTACAGCACCAGAGCAAAGAGAGGAGCGTGATCACAAAACACAACAGGTACATTCGAGCATTCAAACCTTAAACATATTTTCTTCTCAAAATGCTCTTGTACTTTGCTGAACCTCTGGCACCTGAACATTTGTCACCTCAAAAATACATAAAACAATAAATAGGTAATATAACACAGTACTTCTGCTCTATGAACACAAAGAACAGAGGAGTGTTTGTGCATGTGTGCGTCATGTACAGGTTTTTAGTATAAAATGACTACCACAAGGCCTCTCTATGACACTGAATATGAACAGACCACGGCTCTGATTTATTAGATCTAGCTGTCACAGAATCACTGACTTCACAAAATGCATCTTTCAAATGAGACTTTGTAACTTTTTTAAGAGAAGTAAAACACATTGTTGGTCTTATAAATAAAACGCTTAACAAATAATTGTCCAATTCAACAGTCCGGGTTTTGTTGCTGCTAAAGCCTCATTGTGGCTATTGTTGAAAAACTTTACGTCACTAAATATATATAACGGACAGTCAGTTTGCTGACTCATGACTCTTCCACATGTGCCACTGTTACAGAGGTTAGTCTTTAGCTAAATGATTAACAACAGCTTAGCAACTAGCATCATCCCATACCTGCCTGAAGAAAGTTTCTGCAGCAAAAGTTACACAGTCTCATTTAAAAGGGGAAATCCACTCTCAGAATTTATGAATATTATTCTAATAATCTTGAATAGTTTGAGTAGATGTGTGGATATGAACAACTCCTGGAGAGGATCGATCTCAAGACTCAACACACACAACAGGTTAAGAGTCGTCAAACGAGTCTTTGCACAGAAAATGACTAAGCTGCTCAAAACACACACATTATATTTAGTGAGTCTTTACCTTAATCATCTCTGATCTTTTTGAACCAGAGATGTTTTTGGCACTGGAACAGTTGGAAATCCCAGTCCACCGGTTAATAATGATCTGGA